CAACAACGTTATACCTTCGACACAATGCATGAACCCATTGCGCTGGGTAACCATTCTGAGCACTGACTGAATATGAAGGCATGCCGCTTGTCAGCCACAGTACATGGTGTAATAGTCAAACTAGTCTGAAGATGTTGATGTAAATAAGCAGTATGTTGACCAGATCTAGCTGTTTAATTTCCCTAACCCCTACTGGTAGTCTGCCTTCTATTAACGTGCAAGCTAAGTGGTTGAAACACTAGTCAAACTTATAAAAGAACAATGACAAATATTTGAGCGAAACAGTGAATTACCATCCATAATAACCCAGAGAAAGCCACACAATAATTTCCGCTCCGCAAGCCTACACCAGTGCCTCGCTGGCTGCCCACCAACCACAGAGATGTTCCCATTTGCTTTGCATGTAACAGACCGAAAAAGAGGACAAAGTCAGCGTTTCCCTTACCGTCAGGTCCAGACTGTCGTTGTCACGGTGGTTAACGGCTCGTATGACACCGGACCTCCAAGGCCACCGACCTGTGTCGCCGATTTCAGGCGACTCTTCCCCGCTGACACAGAGGAACCGCTTCCCGACCAGCTCCGGCCGAGCCTCGACTGCCATGGCCCCTTTGCTGGTCAAACCCCCCCCTCGAAAAAACTTCCCAACAACGACGCCCTTACCGACCTGTCATTTACGACATTAACCCAGTTCTAAAGACTCCAACGATAGAAAGAAAATAAAAAAAAGAAACGTTGTTTGTTGCTGAATAACCGACCCGGGGGATTTAAATGTGTAGCAGTCTCCACCCGCTCGAGCGTCAGTCTCTTTTCTCTCAGCGTGAAAAAACGGTGGAACACTGAACCGCATCACCGCCGCTATCCATACGTGTGTATCTCCGCTGGATCCCAAGGCTTTCACTGGCCGCAGCACGATTGTGTCCCTCCGCTCAGTTGAAAAGAAGGGCACTATGATGGTGAAAATACTTGTATGTGCGCTCATAGCAACTGCCACGACTACTGCTGACACCAAGAGTTTTTAGACAACTGCTTCTATTACAACTGTTGTAACACGTCTACTATGGTACGTTGTAGTTTTACTGCTGGTATTACGCTATGGTATTACGGTGGTAAACAAAACAAAAAAAGCTGTGATATAGCCTTAATAATAGGCTTGGAAGAAATGTAGGGAATGTTGACGTTTAAAATATATATCAATTAAATATATACTTATAAAATGTAAGTGTGAATGTATTTTATATATTATATATATAACAGCATTACATTTTATAATATATATTTTTTTTAATATATTTCATTTGATTTTTTAATTAGTGCTTGTTTGAAATCTGTTTTATCTTCCTTTTATTTATTTCATTTTCCCTTTTGTTCAGATGCAGCTTTATGTTTCAGTCAATTATGATGGCAACGTGTGACAAAGGATCTCTGCATTTGTATCCGTACACAGGGCACCACTTATGCAAAAGGGGTTTAACAACCTCATTGAACCACCTTGTGCAAATAACCGTTGCATGAATGAAATGAATGAACAGCTAAAATGTAAGGAAGTGGGGAAGTAAATATAGCTCAAATATAAACATTTTAAAATTGTGGAAATAGTGTTTAAAGTACCACGTTTATGTTTTTCTATTAACAACAAATCACACTGTGTAAGGCCTCCGTTGTTTTCCATTCTTTTCTGATTGAAGATTACAACAGGCTTGAAACTCTGCATGTATCTGCTTTAGCTATGAAATACATTGTCAGATTAAACAACTATTGTAATTGCAATACTGAAATAAATACAAACAAATGGCCGACTCCAACTGAAGAAGGAAAACACATCTGAATAGAAAATGTGTTATTATTACAGTATTTGTAACAAAAATTAGCAAACAAACTACGATTTTCCCTTTCAAATTACAACAGATTTCTAAAACCATCAAGCCACCATAAGAGCACAAGGGCTGTCGTCATAATGTTCATATGTAACGGCTGATAAGGGTGACTGCTCAAAGAGCACTGCTTTCAAAATGAGAGATCAATCTTCTCCTGCAGCGTGTGAAATCTCAGGAAACTGCTTTAAATCTGCTTCTTCCTAATCTCCTGTTTTATAGAACATGTCTGTTCCTCTGCTGCTCATTTGATGAGGTTATTTAAGGGTCTTTTCTTAACCCTGTAACTGTTGTTTCCTGTCAGCAGGTCATTCAGAGCCATGGTGACTCCCAAGGGATGCATATGACCATCAGTTTGATGTCCTTTTTGATGTCAGTAACTCCAGCAGTCTAGATAATCAATTTGGCTTTCTAAATGATATCAAACTTTCTAAAAATGTAATGCATAGAAATTAGACTTCTTGTTTTGACAAATTCTTGGTTCCATACAACTATTAAGCAGGTTGTTATATTTCTATTTGAAGCAGATCTGGTTTGAATGTAGTACAGGGATGTGATGTAAAGTGTATTGTATTATCATTATTATCTGCTGCTTATATCTGTATTTTACACCTCATTTAACTTGTATGTAAAAGCAACTGACGGTCTCTTTGTTTCTCAGTGGATTGACCAGTTTCCATTGTCTTGCCTCCGACAGAGAGAGAAGTGGTGAAGGAGAGAATGAGGCAGAACAACAGAAGGAGAACAAGAGATGGAAGGATTGTGTGTGTCTTCTCTGTGCAAGTGGCTTTATGGACGATTGCCTGCATGTGTTCTTGTGATGTGTGTGCAGAGTGAGGACAGAGGACAGACAGTGTAGAGGTTTGGGTGAGAAGTATGAGAGTCACACACACTGAAGCCATTTCAGGGTGGTGTGCAAGAGGGGAGAAAAGAAAAAGAGAAAGATGGAATGATGCTGGGAAAAATAAATGCTAAATGCTCATGAGACAACATTTTGTTCATGTATTGTTATGTGCTTTCTGTTGTTGTTTGTTGTGCTCTGCTGCAAGTCAAAATTCCCCTATTGGGAAATGAAGAATGAATTGAACTGAACATGAGAGAAGCAGGAAAAAGCACCGAGCAGGTCATAGTGGTGGAGTAAGACATTTAACAGCTGACAGGAATATTAACATAGTGTGTCATGTCAAATACATATTACATGAGTGCATGGCTTTAAGATGCAATAATGGTATTCCACATACAACATAGTTTTTAACTAATAGATGATTTTAAATATATTGCTTCAGTATGATTCATTTGCATTTTGTCCATTTCTAACTAGATTTGTTCTGCTGGGTGTAAAACAGTGCTGTGAGGTTAGCATTGGAGCCGCTGAATGCCTGGTGTGAAGGTGTTTTGTGTTCAGCTGATCCTGATGCTCACGATGGCCCAGACGGGCAGTGTGACCATGAGGCTCCACTGGGATCTCCCTCACTACTGCACACTGCAGCAGCCGCCTCCATGAATATCAAGTAGCCACGAACGCAACCTGCCTCCTCCCCCATGCACCCGCATATGTACACAGACCATGTGCATATCAGCATGTGGTCACTAACATGCACATCTGCATAAATAGAAAGTCACAAGCTCATAGCTGCACACATACAAGCTCACACACATGTTTATGAGCTCAGATATCACTATACGCAACACATGCACACACAGAGACAGGCGTGCTGGAGCTCACAGATGGGGATTGTGTGTGCCAAATTCTGTGTATGGAAAACTGTAATGAATATGATTACGACCTAAAGACTGGTGTGGTTTACGTGATGAGCCAGACAAAGGCAGTCTGCGGAATCTGTATTTCAGGTATCCAGTGCGCTGTCTTTTCCAGAGCCACTGTCCTTGAGGAATAAATGAATACAATCATTTATTTCCCAACCACTGTTTTTGTATGTTGCTTTGGCACATTTTCTCTCTATCAACCAAGTGTTAATATAGAACAAATGTTGTCTTTTAAACTGTAATGCATGCAGAATACAGCAATGTAGATGCATGTCAACAATATGGAAGAGAATACATCTGAATCTAAGGTTTAGTACAGGCGCAAGCCAGCCTGAGAGATGCATGACAAATAGTTAAAAGCAAATATGATTTTACAGGCCAATCCCTGCACAATGCACATTTGGAAACCTTTTAGGATTTAAGCTCTGGGCAGAGAACATTCAAGAACATGTGTTTTATTGAACTGTTTTAGATTCATTCAAATGTGAAGGACCCACTTATTTCTACAATCTACATCCTTGGAAGATGTGTTCTCTTATTCTCCTTGTTTCTGTCAGGGTTTGGCAGGGAGTGGGACCCAGTAAAAACAATGAAATTGCAGTAGATTTAACCGTAAGCGAGCCTTTTAATTATAAAATATTGATTAACAAAGAAAAACTAAACATGTACATATCACGAGGAACAAAATGTACAGGAGCACAGGGAAACCTGACAGGACCATTGAAGGGGACGAGGACAAACCGACAGAGAACACTAAGACTAGGAAACTAAGTTTGTAAACACAAAAACGAAAATCATGACAGTTCCATGTTTGTTTCTGCAAAGAAAGACAATTCGATTCTTTTATTTGGTCAATTATATTTGAATACTTATTTTTAAGAAGATGGCGATGGATCAATGATTTACACGAATCTGCAGTCAATAACGATATATGTTTCTAATGAGGAAGGGAATGCTGGTTTTAATCGTTCTCAAAGGGGTTTATTAAGATTTCTTCATGTCCTCTGCAATAATTAGTTAGGTGTGTTGAAAACGGCAAGCATCTGGTATTAAGGAGGAACCTGTCACTCTTTACTAAGGACACTAGAACATATAAGTAATTTTCTTTGCCATGAAAATGTTGCCCATAGACAACGCTGGGAAATCCACCAACAGTTTATTGCCTGCCTCACCCGTTGGTTGGAATTCGCCACGAATCGAAGACAGACCAATCAGAGACCAGGTCGGTGAGTTTGAAGTTCCATCGCTTCTGTCAAACGCAAAAGTCACATGGGCAAACATGGAGACCCAATGATAGTTGTTATTTGTTGTAAACAAGGTGAACTGGCCAATAGTTGGGCTCGGGAGGCTGTTCCTTTCCTGTCGACGTCACGGTCTATCTGAGCACCGTTCTGGTGCCAGGAACTGGTGGGAGCAAAGTATAGAGAGAAGGAGGAAACCTGGGGGAATGCAACAAAACGACAGGATACATACTGGATAGATACTCCATCGCTTAACTATGGCTACAAAAACAGAGCAGTAAGACTTAACGTTGTCTGACATGTCGCAGCAGAGATAGCTAGCTGTTCTTGGATCCGCACATCGAAGTTTTGTCTGAAGAAGTTTACAGCTAAAGCGACAGGCTAAGGCTAGCCACTGTTAACACCGGGCTGACACAGCCCTGCACAACAAAGACAGAAAACATGGTGTCCTGGATGATTTCGAGAAGCGTTGTGTAAGTACCAAGATAATATATAATATTACTGAAAGTAACCTAAAAAACTGTTATTTAACCTCATGGAAAAAATCGAGCTGCTGATGGGATTTAACTTTGTTAGCTTGTCTCGCTAACTTGTTAACGTCCTCCTGCTAACTTGTGACCTCAGTCCTCTAATTGTCTACATAAATGCGGACTTAGAAAACAAGAAATGACACGTTTTAACAAACAGTTAACAGATACTACACTAAAACAGCAGTGTTCATTTTGTAATATAAATAGTTGTTAAATAGCTAGCCTTGATTGGCTAATGAGACTAAAGCTAATGCTAGCAAACACGTCATGACCGTGCTCACAGCAGGTGAGTCAGACGTAACGATGTGTAACTTTTGTTAAGTATCGGTGAGGTGGAACATTTTTCGTTTTCCAAGTACATCTGTGAAGGAGTGTCAGGTACAGCTGTCATGTTGAAGATATTATTAGCCAGCCGTGCCCAAAGTAACCTGGCAACCATAGGATAGCTGACAGGAAGAAAGGCAAATGTATCGTCATTAATGGACATTGTGTGGCTCTGCACGGATTTCTTTGTGTTACTTGATTGCCAGTTATCTGTTGCGAAGCAGTTTGTGAATGAAGCAAAAGTATTCTGTGAGTCTCTGCCTGTTTATATTTAGGAATAGTAGTTGCAAAACTTGCTATAATGGAGGATAGGAATGTAGTGGAAAGGACAAAAGGTCCTCCTGTTCTCTAATGCAACTTTCAAACACAACTTTCTGTGCGATAATGAACAACATTTTTTGTAAAAGGGTTGTCACAGGTCAATATGGGGCCCAAGGCCTTGGTCTAAGTATAGGGAGCAGGTGAGCATTTAAGGCTTTCAAGCCTGCCGAGTGCCGACATTTCTTTTTATAACTTCCATAACCCTCCTACCTCTATGCTGCATTCTGCATGACAGAATGTACCAAGATGGATCCAGTCCATTATGTGTAACAATAACTATAATGTGAACCTGACATTCAGCCTTTATTTAAGATTTGTACATGCACGTCAGATGTACTGTGCTGGAATTTAAGTCCTGTGACACAGTTCTGCATTTTTATGGGACAAAATGTAATTGGTCATATTGACTAAATTAATGGGATTTAGTGTCAAATCGTTTGACTGGGTTGATGTTACAACACACAGATATATGCAATGCTAATACAAACTGATCCTGGGAGAATGATGTGATTTGTTTATATACACTGACTTAGTAAAGTCAATGAAGTTCACTTCAGTAATTGCATGAGGTGCTGAGTCTGATATAATAAGATTTGGACATTATAATATTTGGGAATATACTTGCATAGAAACTGGAGCTCAGGTCTTATATCTATGTTGGATGTAATGTGTCCCTGTAAGGAGTGTTCCAACATGTTTATTACGGAGCGTCCACACTACAGCTTCAAAAAAAGCTTGGAGCTGGGCGTGTCTGAAGCTTGGGGATGTTATTCAAGCAACGCGACCAACAACCAATCACATGAATCTCCCGCCCCCGACATACAAAGCAAAAACCCCCGGGGATTTTATGGGAGCAATATATATATAAACTCCCCAAACAGGCGCAAACCTACCAGTTTCACCCACTGTCTCTGCCACCTCCCTCCATGCCTGGTTCCTCCGGTTTGTATCCCGGTAGGTGAAGAGGGTCTGGTCATACAAAACCGGGTGATTTGCTACGGCGATAATTAGTTTCTCCTCCATCTTTTTTTGAAATATATAGAAATGAACGGCGGGATATCTCTCCCAGCTTAGACGCGGTTTGATTGGCTACGGCTTGAGCTGTCAGATTTTCAGAAACGGGATTTGATTGGCTGGCGCTGGCTACTCCGGCGGAGACGGACCGCTAATCTACCCACAATTCAGTTCGGCGAAAAAAAGCGGCAACGTGACGTCACCCCATTCAAAGTCAATGAGCAGATTGAAGCTGTCGACGCTGTAGTGTGGACGGGCCGTTACAGTGGAATGAATCCAGCCTGCAATCGTAAATAATGTTGGAATTATGTAATTACAACTGATTAGGGATGATATGTTGAGATCATCCTGCTGAACTAAATGTTTAAGTGTCATGAACTGCAGTCCTATTTTCTGTAATAAAAAATCAAATGGTAAAATCCCATTGCTTTTGGTGGAAGGAACCAGGGAGATCCCACCGTCTGGGGTCTGATTGCTCAAATATTTAGTAAATGTTGTGTACAATAGGAATGCTGCAGTCTGCTGCACCTCCCAGCAGAGTGGAAAACAAGCTTTTCAGGATCAGTAGGTTGCAAGGTGTGCTTTCATTGCCTGTAAATATAACATCATATAGTAAACACCTAAGCCATGTCATTTCTAAACATGAGTAACTCTTCCTTCTCTTTCACATGCTTACAGTAAGGCATGGCTAAGTCAGGATATTAATGACATAATAAATACCTGCCAAATCGTATTATGGAAAAAGATAAGTGACGTATGTATTTTGCCAAGCTGACTTCACAACAAGCTCAAATGTGTAACAAAGCAAAGCTAATGTTAACCATTTTGTGTGAGTGGAAGATCCAAAATGATTAGCTTCTTAGTCTGGGAGGTATAGATCAATTTAAATTGCCACATGAAGGACAACCCTAGTCTGCTAGTTAGCATAGAAGTCAATCTAACTAAATGTCGATTGAAGCAGTTTACCATTTTACACACAATTACCTTACCTGTGGGTCGTTACTAAAAAAACGTTATATATTACATATTACTTTTAAAAAAAAAAGTAATATATTACTTTACTTCGTTACTCTAACGCGTTACTTTACTCGCAGGGCCGCCCCTCCCTACAGGCAGATCACGCAGACTGCGGAGGGTGGATTCTCACCCTGGATTCGGAGGTCCTCCTTAGCTATTAGCTTCACGTTAGCATGTGTTCTTTGCAGGTGCTTGTTGAGGTTTGACGTGGTGTTTGCAGCAGTGGATAACAGCTTCTGGCCTGGACACAGTTTGCACCTCACCGTCACATTCCTGTCCTTTCTTCAGACGAACTCAAAATAATGGGCAGACCTCCACCCCTCGAGAGTTATCGCTGTTGCCTCAGCCATGTTTATGCAGCACTGCACGTGGACGCGCAAGTTGCGCAAATGTTACGTCAAAGGGAGAATCTAACTGTAGTGTGATTACTGATTTTATAAAAGTAACGAAGTAACGCGTGTCGGGCAATTTTAGTCACTGCAGTGTGATTACTGAATTATAAAAGACACAATGTTGTCCAGTAAGAAGAAGGCCTAATACTACGTTTACTTAGCGCTTTTCGAGGCTTTAAGACCCCTCAAAGCTCTTTTACATATACCATTTATAATTCACCCATTCTCACACATGTATACCCATGGCCATGTCATCAAGAGCTTTTCAGAGTTCACTTTCCTGGGATCAAACCACCAACCTTCTGATTGGATTGGAGTATGATCACACTACCTCACAGCCACAGTCACCCATCCCTAAATACCTTCAAATAATAATAGAAAATATTAGACATGTCCCGATCCGATCACATGATCGGGGATCGGAGCCGATCACGTGATTTTCAAAAGATCGGAATCGGGTGAAAAAAATCAGGGATCAGGATCTTTTTCTTTTTTTTTATAAAATGTTTTTATTATTTTATTTAATGTTACAAAACAAAAATGACCATGTTCACGTCTTAAAGTCATCCTGAGGCCTTAGTTTTGGTTTAAAATGACTCAACATCATGTATGTGTTGCTTCTTTTGGGCTTATTTTCAGACCTGGTTGCTTATTCCTCTCAAATCTGGCAACAGAGTGGGCGCAGTGTCTAATAGTAGCAGTAAGCTAACGAGAGGCTACGTTCAGCTGGTGACTCGGGAGTCGGGACAGAGAAAATGTCAGGAGTTTGGAAGTATTATAAAATTGAAAGCGAAGGCAGTGTAACAGCCAGATGCAATGTTTGCAAGAAGGAGGTTCCGCGTGGTGGAAAGAACAGAGCTACGTTCAACACGACCAATCTAATACGCCACCTGAGAAACAAACACAAACAACAACACGACGAGTATACAGCGGCCACTCGGGTAACGGCACTGAAACAACCGACACTTTCAGAGACTTTGAAAAGGAAAGAGAAACTTCCCCAGAACAGTGAAAAGGGCAAAACAATAACAGCCAAGATAGCTGAATTCATCGCGTTGGATGACCAGCTGTTACTTTTTTTTTTCTTAATGCATTGCATAAAGATCGGATCGGGAAAAATCAGTATCGGCAGATTGTCAAAATCAAATGATCGGAATCGGATCGGGAGCAAAAAAAGGTGATCGGGACATCCCTACAAAATATGTTAACACATGCTCGCTAATGTGGATCATGTGCTTGCGGTATAACAGGAAATGCTTGGACAGATTCAGAAAAGATGGTAAATTGAATTATGTAGTACATTTGGTTGATGCTGCTGAGCAGTTCATGACCTGTTCATTGGTTTCTTTTTTTAATTGCCCACTCCCACCAAGTTAAGCCAAGTTTAAATCACTTTCTCCTGCAAGATGTCACAGCCGGGGGAGCGCAGCCAAATCAAATTCAGTCAATCAGACGCTGAGTTGAACAATTGAAATCAAAGTTTAAAGGAGCGCTAAGAGTGGGACACGACACGCAATACAACTGTTGACCGCTGTCCCTCTGTAAATCTGTACTTAGTTCTAAGCTTTATGTTTCTTCCTGTTTATCAAAGACTTGAAATCTGTGCAGGTCGGCTAGACAATCTATATATGTGGGTTGTCTACTCTTTGCAAGTTTTTACCTTGTCCTCAGTTTTGTCCAGAGCTTTACTGCTTCAACTTTGACCTTCTGTACTGCCCTGTTTATCTGTGCAAAGGGGGATTCTTAGCAACATGTGCTCACCTCAGTGACCTTCCCAAAGAGCTTTAGATCATCTGTTTCCAACTGATGTCTGACGGATCTGTGTCTTGACCTGTTGGACTTTTTTGCGACTCAAGTTTAAATCAACAATAATTA